TTTTCGGATTACGGTCCGATGTCGGGCGGGGCCCGAGGAATGTTTATATGCTTATGTTATATGATTATTCTATGTGTATTGTTGATATGTGTATATGTATACCGAGATTTGCTCGATGTCGGGTGGGACCCGATGTCGGGCGGGACCCAATGTCGGACACAGTCCAATGACGGGCGGGGCCCAACGTCAGACATTGTCTGATGTTGGGCGGGGCCCGATGAAGCGGGTGGGGCCAATGATATGTTATTACGTGATTATGTGATTATATGTATGGTATGTGGTAGTTTGAGGAAATTCACTAAGCTTCGTGCTTACAGTTTTCAGTTTTGGTTTTAGGTACTTCCGATAGCAAAGGGAAGAGCTCGGGATGACGGCATTGCACACACCATAATGTTTAGCCTGTGATGATTTACTCTGATTTTTTGGTTTGGAAACAATGTTTTAAGATACTTTGGCTTGCGTTTTGATGGAATGTTTTTACAACTATGGTTTACTTAATAATAAAAAATGAAATTTTTGGTCATGAATTTTGGAATGTTTCATTGGCCAAGTTGGTGAGTACGCGGGGCGTACAAGCCCTTTAAGCAGTACGCTGAGCGTACATGCTGAGTACGTCCCGCGTACTCAACAGGTTGGGTTTTTTTTGTTTTGGGCTAGGGTGGGCTTGGTTGTTTTGGGCCATGTTAGACCATCAAAACTCTTTAGTTGGGCTGTGAGGTTTTGGTGGACTCTCTTGGGAAAAGGCTCATGAAAGGGATTGGGCCCAATTGGAAATTTAGGCCATATTTGGGCTTTGGATGATTATTTTGGATTTTAGGCTTTTTGGTCGATTGGATTGGACCTTGGCCTTGGGCCAAGTTAGAGGAAGGGTAAAAAGGTCTTTTACTCTAATGTGGACTCCTAGTGTGAGTCGGGAGCCAATTATTAATTTGATATTATTTTGGTAATTGATTGCACGGGATATTTTTTTAGCGGATCTGCAGTCAGAGATTATCCGTGGGTTTCAGCTATCTGAGGTGAGTCTTCTCACCATATTCATGGGTCGAAGGCACCAATGTCAGCCCATTACCTGTTATGTGGAATGCTAGTTGTCTTTGTGATACTTGCTTAGAAGACCCCCGGGGGTAGCCCGTGGCATTTGAATGGAAGACCATAGGGGATAGCCCATGGCACTTAGATGTCAGATCATTGGGGCAGCCCATGGCATTTCAAGGAAAGACCATGGGGGTAGCCCATGACATTTCAGGGAAAATACCACTAGGGTAGCCCATAAAAATACTTAATACATAAGTCATGTTTTCAATGTATCAATTATTACTTATGTATTGTAAATAGTGTTTTGTTTGTCAACGATCTACATTCGATGGAGACTAAAGTGATAGTATATACTTCCAAGTGTAAAAACTTCAGTTGCATTAAAAGTGTAGAATATAATACATTAGGTCTATTACATAGTAGGTTCGCAGTGGCTTAGACCAGTAAACGATGACCTGATTTTACCAATTATCACAATGATCGTATTCGCATAATTAATACTTGTTGTGTTATATATTAACATGTTTAATCCATGAATAATCCAAATATTCTAAAAGTTCATATCGGCTATAATTGTGGGAACAATTATGTAACACTCAAATTTGGTAAGTTTCACTTTTAACCCTTTATTGAAAACCTTTCATTTTGGTCCTTTAGCTAGTACACAGGGCGTACTAAATGGTACGCTTGGCATACTAACCCGATGATTGATCGCAGATATCGCCCACATACGTGGGGCGTACGTAGAGTACGCATGGCGTACGTAGGGCTAGGACAAACCCTAATTTTTAGGGTTTGTGCCCTATTTAAACGTCTCAAACTCATCTCCTGGACATTTTAGACCAGCCTCCATCCTCCTTGTCCAAGAGAACGTCCTAAACACACGGAACGAATCGAAGTGGTAGTTTATGAGAGGGGTTGAGATGAGGATAACAAAGACAACCGAAGACACGAAGATGGGAATATAATGGTTGTTTATTGAAGAGTTTGTGAAATGGGGTGTCGTGTTTGAGAGCGGAAGATGGAAGTATGTTCAAAAGATGGGCTGCCATATGGAGTGCTTCCACCCAACAGAAGGGGTGGAAGATGAGCTTGAAACAATAGGGTACGAATCATATTGTTTAGAGTGCAAAGCATGCGTTCAGATTTACCATTTTGTTGGGACGTGTAAGGACATGAGAAACGCATGTGAATACCGTGTTTGTCGTATAATTGATGAAAGTGGGAGTTGTCATACTCCTTGCCATTGTCACATTGAAAAAATTGTATATCTGTCTTAAATTGGTTTTGAATATAAGCACGAAAGTGAAGAAACTTAGAAAAGACTTCGAATTTCTTTCGAAGAGGATAAAGCCAAACAAAATGAGTAAATTGATCAAGAAAAATCACATAATATTGAATGCCACTATGACTCAATAAAGGGAGAAGTCCACACATCACTATGAATAACTTGAAACAAAAATAACACGTCGGTTTGAGATAATGAAAATGATAATCTAGTGTGTTTACCAAGTTGACACGCATGACAAAGCAAATGAGAATCTGGTTTATTACATGAAATGGAATTACGAGAAATTAAACGCTTGGAAACTGGGTGATCAGGATAACCAAGTCTTTGGTGCCATAAAGATGAGCTGATGGTGAGAAAAGCTTGAAATGTTGGCTTGGTCAACGGATAGAGATCACCCGGGCTATCACATCGGAAGAGGATTAGTTTGGTCAGAAAATCCTTCACAGAGAAACCAAATTCGTCAAATTCAATAGAACACTTGTTATCACAAGTAAGTTTACAAACAGAAATAAGATTTTTAATAATCTGTCGTGTAATAAGAACGTTTTTTAGGTGAAGAGGACGAAATAGGTTGAAAGGAAGTGTAGTGTGACCGATTTGAGTAACCGGAATGTGTGATCTATCGCCAACTAAAACGGAGAAATTTGAATTATTGCACGAATTTCCAATGGAACTGAGGATGCCTGAATTATTGTGGAGATGTGCGGTCGCCCAGGTGTCCATGTACCAACCGTTGTTCGTTGGATCTTCAAGAGTCATGGAGCTAAAAGCTTGCGGTAGGGCAGTGGGCTGATCCGATGGATACTGAAAGTAAGTGGGTTGTGAAGGCAATTGGGCTGCCATGTTGAAGAAGGCATGTTGCGGCTGTTGTTGAGCTAACAGCATGGTGGGCCAGGTAATGGGCTGATTGGAAGTGGCACTAGAGGGTCATTGTACCTGATTGGCAGGTAGCATGGGCAACAGTCCACATTGTTGATGTTGTTGGGCCAATGGAAAATCCATGACAAGCTACGGAACGAGTCCCCCCCCCCCAGCCTTAGGGTTGCATCAAATAGCTGTTGTTGTCACCACAAGGTTAGCGGCCACCTCCTCTACCTCCAGATCGACCGCCACGACCACCACCACGCTAACAACCGCCACCGCAACCAGCCCCGAATTTATTTGAGTTGCAATTTCCAAAAGTTGAGGACCAACTATTGTGTTCCGTGGCGAGAACCGTTGGTGATGATGCATAATCGCGGTGCTCAGCTTGGACTTGTTGAGTGTATTCCTTGATAAGAGACCGTTCTTTTAAGGCTAGAATGGAACGCATCTAAAGAAACGTTAGGAACGAATTGGAGTGATGAAGAGTAGGTTTCACATGGTTATATTTGGAGGAGAGGCCGTTAATTTCACATGGTTACACTATGAAGCACTAACGACTTACCTTTGTGAGAGGAATGGGTAGAAAAAATACACCATAGTATAAAAAATAGACAACTTCTTTATCCGTACAAATAGAAAATTTCATTGTTTACTACTTGATTTTACAAGAAAATGAAATAACTAAGAACAAAATAAAACACAATTTGAAAGTATAAAGAAGTTCTAAAACAAATTGAAAAAATAACATAGTATAAAAAATATTAACACGTATCATGTCATTATAGTTTAAATTTCATAATTATTTATCATTAGGATGAATATATTTTTAAAATATATAATTTCTAAATAAAAATAGATTGAAAAAACATCGCACTAATAAATAAGATTACGATGTTACGATAAAAAAATAAAATATATATATTATACAAAAAAATATGATATTACACGACAAAAATAAAAATATATTATTATTTCTTGCATTTAATCCTTATATAATACATCAGACTTTTTAGATTGTGTATGTCAGTTTGTGTGGGTCCTATGTTTGAATAGGACACACCTTTTCTAACTACCAGTCCTCTTATCTAGGTTTTGTTTTTAATATGTTAGAATATTACACGTGTGTAATTCGAAACCGTTATAAATTTCGAATTACAGCTTATCTCCCGCGAACCCATGCCATGCAGAACTTTACGTAAACTAAAGGGTATCAAATTACTAACTGAGAACAAGAAGCAAAGAATAAAAAACTCTGATTCTGTTCGCTTCTCTCTCTCCACCCTCTTTCTCTCTTTCTATGGACTGAACCACTGCTTTCCAATTAACTTTTCTCGCCGACCACCGACTGAATCAGATCTCCGGCCATAACATCTACGTCTCCGATTACTCCCGTCAGCGAGGTAAGTCACTTTCCGTTATATTCATCTTTTCCGGCGATGAAAGACTCCTAGTAATCTACCACAACATCCGATTTAACACACTTTACGTTTTCTACGTTTTTGGTTTATATAATTATTTACTCGTGTTTTCACAACCTCCATTTTCTGTATACCGGAAGATCTGATGGTTATTTGGTATATATAATATAATTAGCATAAATTTTCGCGATAAATTATCAATTTTGACGAATTGATTTATTCTGCAGAATAGCGTTTGAAGGCGGACTGATGGCGAAGCGGAAACACTGTAAAATTTGATTTTTTTTGTTCCTTTTTTCGCTGCAATTTGTTGAAATAAGAATCGCTAGAGTTTTAGGGTAGGCGAGAATAAGAAAAAAAAATTGTGCTTTTTTCTTTATTTTTTTCCGAAAATGGATAATAAAGAGGGGGAAGGTTCATCTTCTCACCAAATTTACCCAGCTGACGGCGTTTATGCTCCGGCGACACCAGCAAAGCCAAGCCGATCGGAAAACACGATCTCAAAACACTGGCTACAAACTCCGTTTGATGAAGCGTTGTTTGAAGATTCACAAGCGAACAAGAATTTCAGTTGCTGGGAGAATAATTTGGGTCAAAATTTCGAGATCAATGGTGGAATTTGTGATAATGGTAATAATATTAGGTTTTCCATTGATGACGTGGAACCATGGCATAGTATTCCTTGTATAGATCTGCTTGCGCTCGCAGATGCCAATGGATCGGCAAAGCTTCATAATTTCTTATCCGATCTAAACGCGCCACCACCGGAAACCGTCGTAACAGAACCGGTGGCGGAGGTGATTATCGCACAATCACAGGAAGCTGAAATTTCAACGATTGTGGAATCGAATCAAGAGAAGGGATTGAGTGAACAAATCAATTTGAATGAAACGCCACAACAACCGAAGCAACGGAGGAGAAAGCACAGACCGAAGGTGATAAAAGAGCGTAAGCCCAGAAGTGCAAAAAAGCCCGCTACTCCAAAGCCCGATGGTTCTTCAACCGGAAAGAGAAAATACGTCAGGAGAAAACCGCTTGAAAAATCGACACCAAAATCAACACCACCAAAAACAAAAACCAAAAACACCTGTTGTTGAGGGAATCATAGATCTGACCAAAGATGAAGAAGAAGAAGAAGAAACTGAAAAATCATGTAAAAGAAAAATCAACTTTGATGAGGTTGAGAAAACATGCTCTACAAGCACTATCCCTATAACCCCAAGTAAAACTGAAACCCAACAGGGGAGATCAAGATCCATTAAAGATGGCAATGGCGATGGGAATCAAAGTTACAAAACAGCAAAATGTAGGATAAATTTCTTGCAAGAAACTCATGAGAAAGGAGTGATTACTAATGTATCAAGTCCGAATGAATCAAACTGCAGCACAAGTGCACAGGGATCAAAGCAACAGATTGATGGAAATGGAAATGGAGTGTCACCTTTTCCTGATTCTTTGGAGGCATATCTATCAGTGTACACAGACTATAACAATAACAGTAGCAATAACAATAACAATAACAAACAAGTGAGCTTACCTGTGATTCACAAGAAAAAGAGAATCAGAAAGCGTAAGACTTCCATGATATCTGTGTGGGAAAATGGTATAAAAGTAAGTTATGATCAGCAATCTTACAGATACATGCAAGCATCGACTGGATTTAAAGGAGAAGCAATATATGAAGCAGAAATCCAAGTGAGTAAAGCAACCAAGAAACGTGCAAAAAAAACAACCACCACTATGGTGGTGGCTTCTTCGTATCAAGACCAAATAAGCTTCACAAACAACTTAGGTATTTTATATATTATATATACTAAATTTTAATCGAAAATAAAAAAATGTGTCTGTTTTAAACTTCTAAAATTCTTGTGTGACATATTCAAATATTGCAGGGTGTCAACCAAATTTAAGATGGAATTTTGATGAACTTGTTAAGCAATTTGAGCGGATGGATATTAATGGATTGATGAAGGAAAAGGACAGGGTGGCGATTGTTCCTTACTTGTCAAGAAACAATGAAAAGAATGAGAATGTGAATGTGAATGTGAATGTGAATGTGAATGCTATTGTTCCTTTTGAAGGACATGGGAGTGTAGTTCCATATGATGGTGTGTTTAATCCTATTAGAAGAAGAAAGCCAAGACCTAAAGTTGACCTTGATGATGAAACGAGTAGAGTTTGGAGGCTATTATTGGAAGATATAAATAGTCAAGGAATCAATGGAACAGATGAGGATAAAGCAAAGTGGTGGGAAGAAGAACGAAGAGTGTTTAGTGGAAGAGCAGATTCGTTCATAGCTCGCATGCATCTTGTCCAAGGTTAGAATCGTCTTTTCACAAAAATATCATTGGAAATTTTATCAACACTGAAAATGAAATTTTTTTACAGGGGACAGACGATTCTCTCGGTGGAAAGGATCTGTTTTGGATTCTGTGATTGGGGTTTTTCTTACACAGAATGTATCAGATCATTTATCTAGGTAAACTAAACTAAAATTTAAAAAAAAAAAAAAAACAATTTTTTTATTTTTTCATTAAAAAAAAAAAAGTAAATATTTTCACTTGCATTTGCAGTTCGGCATTTATGTCTCTTGTATCACGATACCCCTCAAAGTCAAAAAGCAGCAGTGAACCCCTTCATGAAGAGAATTCAGGTGTGTCTGTTGAAGAACCTTTAGATGAAGAAGAAACCATGATGTTGAAGGATAATGAAAAAAGAGAAGTTGTATACAGCAATGAAGTGTCAAAAAATATCGCGTATACAGTTGACTTGAATGAAAATTCAGAATGTGGAGTTGAAGATATAATTTCCTCACAGAATTCTACAGATACATCTCCAAGCTCTGTACAATCACCAATTGTTCATAGTCAAAGTCAAAGTCAAAGTCAAACCACTGAAGAACAACAAAAGAACAGGTGTCAACCTAATGAAGAGCAACAAAAGGACAGGTGTCAAGCTACTGAAGAACAACAAAAGGACAGGTGTCAAGCTACTGGTCTTAATGAATACACTTCTTTTGTTGAGTTACTTCACATGCAAGGATCCAGCACATCACCTTGTTGCAATGGTTCCGAAAATACCCTTTTGCCTAAAGAGTGTGGAAGTGAAGAAAGTGGATTATCAGCAGAATCTGCGAGTCAAGCTAGGGGTAAAACGGTCGAAACAATAAGTTCCCAAGAATCCCACAAAACCAGTGAGGTGCGACAAATGTTTGATAAGGTGGTTGAATTTAATTCAGGTGGGAGTAGTCAAAGTCAAACAGTTGATAAGGGTAGTTCTGTAATTGATAAAGTGAGAGCTGGAAAGAAACAGGTTAAAGTTGAGTGGGATAAATTAAGATTGCAAGCTGAAGTCAAAGAAAAGAAAGAAAGAACTCCTTACACAATGGATTCATTGGACTATGAGGCATTAATGAATGCAGATGTTAGTGATATTGCTGATGCCATAAAAGAAAGGGGTATGAACAATGTACTTGCAACAAGAATTAAGGTATGAATTATGAATAATTGAATATGTCATTTTGATATTATTTAAATATTAATGGCATACCATGTAAATATCTGCATTGATACAGGCCTTGCTTGACCGGATTGTACAAGACCATGGAAGTGTTGACCTTGAATGGTTAAGAGATGTTCCCCCTGACAAAGCAAAGTAAGTTCATTATTATTTTTTTACAATTAATATTATTTGAAATAGTGCTAATATTTTTTTATGATTTTAGGGAGTATTTGTTAAGCTTTAGAGGCTTGGGATTGAAAAGTGTAGAGTGTGTTCGACTTCTAACACTTCACCATCTTGCCTTCCCTGTAAGAATTATACTTGAGATATTATACTTCATCATTTTTAGTAAGAGTAAATTACAAAAATGGTCCCTATGCTTTCTGATTTTTACCATGTTTAGTCCAAAACTAAAACACTTTTCCATTTGGTCCTTATTTCAAGATTCCAGAGACCAAATCGAATATGAAACGTTGAAATAAGGACTAAAATTAAGAAACTTTTCAAGTTTGAACTAAACACGGTAAAAATGAAAAAGCACAGTGACTTGTTTTGTAATATTCATAATCAAACATTTTGACATGAATGATTGAATGCTTTGAACTAGGTTGACACAAATGTGGGGCGTATAGCTGTAAGACTCGGATGGGTACCCCTGCAACCACTTCCTGAGTCTCTTCAGTTGCATCTTTTAGAATTGTAAGAGCACTAAACCTTTTGTAAAACTGTTTATTGAAATTCAAAAAACTCTCATTTTTTTTTTAAAAAAAAAAACTAATACTTAAATTTCTACACAGGTATCCGGTTTTGGAGACGATTCAGCAGTACCTATGGCCACGACTTTGCAAGCTTGACCAGAGAACTTTGTATGCCAACTTTTTTCATGCATTAATATTTAATAACTAATACTATGCATATAAACATTAAAAAAATTAATTAATTAAAAACTCTACTTATTCACAGGTATGAATTACATTATCAGATGATTACATTTGGAAAGGTTTTTTGCACAAAGAGCAAACCAAATTGCAATGCATGTCCAATGAGAGGAGAATGTAGACATTTTGCAAGTGCATTCGCAAGGTCAGACAGAAATAAACTAAAATTCATACTTTTTAAGCCTATTTTCAACGATGACAATGAGAAGGGCATTTATGTCTTTTCCTCCACAGTCAAAGTTTTAATTATAATTTTTAACTACAGTGCAAGGCTAGGGTTACCAGCACCAGAGGGGAGTGTAGCAAGTATAACAGAAAACAAAACTGGTCAAAAACTAATTGGAATGTCAGATCAACCTAATGAACAACTACAACAGCTATCTGAACTCCAAAATTGCAACCCTGATATTAATCAACCTAATGAAGAACAACAAAAACTATCTGAAGTCCAAAATTGTAACCCTGTTGTTGAAGAATCATCAACACCAGGGACAATAATTGAAGCACCATCAACATCAGGGCCTATAGTGGAGGTGCCATTATCACCAGAGCCTATAATTGAGGTTCCCACAACACCAGAGCCAGAACAGATACAACAAGAACTTGATATGGAGGATTTTTGTGAAGAAGATGGTGAAGAAATTCCTATGATTAAACTAAACATGGAAGAGTTTACTCAGAATTTGCAGACTTACATGGAAAGACACATGGAACTTGGAGAAGGTGACCTGTCAAAAGCACTAGTTGCCTTAACATCAGAAGCTGCAGCAATCCCTGTACCTAAACTTAAAAATGTCAGCCAACTAAGAACAGAACACCAAGTGTAAGTAATTATGGAAAGATGATGTGTTTTGTGAATTCTAATTTCTAAATTATTTTTTTATTTCAATTTTGCAGATATGAGCTTCCAGATTCACATCCTCTTTTGGAAGGGGTAAGTGTACCTTATGAAGAATATGAAATGCTCTTGATTTGATTTATGCTTCTTAACAAATGTGTCATGAATTACAGATGGACACACGAGAGCCTGATGATCCTTGCTCATACCTTCTTGCAATTTGGACGCCTGGTGAGTGGATGAAATGAAAATGAGAGAATTAAATAAATGGTTTTGTGAAATGCTGATTGGATTATTTGTTTGTTTATATTATACCAATAGGTGAAACTGCAGATTCGATTCAACCGCCAGCTGGACAATGTTCCTCCCAAGAATCTGGCAGGTTGTGCAATGAAGAAACATGTTTTTTCTGCAACAGCACACGAGAAGCAAATAACCAAACTGTTAGAGGGACACTCTTGGTGAGTTTGTAGATATAAAAAAAGTAATGAAAGAAAGATGCTATAATAAACAAATAAATAGAATTATATTTGTATTTCTTGCATTTAACCCAAAACCAAACAACTAAATTTGAAATAAAGGGCCTCAAGGAAATGTATGTGCTTTCTTCATCTGTATTTGAAATAATTGCAAAATACACATAATGGTAATTGTTCAAATCAATATGTAAATTCAAATACATTGTCCTGCTCATAACTCTCAAATTTAAAAATACAAATCATGTACAGATACCATGTAGAACTGCAATGAGAGGGAGCTTTCCACTCAATGGGACATATTTTCAAGTCAATGAGGTATGACTTTGCTTAACATGAACTCTTTCTGAATATCAAAGCATTTTTCTTTTTCTTTTATTTCTTTCTTTCCTAATGTTATTGTGATGTTTGAAACAAACAAATTCTATTGGAATGCAGGTGTTTGCAGACCATGACTCAAGTCTTAATCCAATTGATGTCCCGAGATCTTGGTTATGGAATTTACCAAGAAGAACAGTGTATTTTGGTACTTCTATACCAACAATATTCAAAGGTAGAATAAAAAAAATTTTGAATAATTTAAAAAGAATACCAAACTCACAAAGAAGTAAATTTCTTTTATCTGACAGGCCTTACAACAGAAGATATTCAATACTGCTTCTGGAGAGGTATGTAGATATCATATAGATAATAGATCTTTATAAGTTATAATAATATTATGTTACACTAATCATTTTTCTTAAGACTTGGTTTTTAACTTTTAATGATGTATTTCAGGATTTGTTTGTGTGAGGGGATTTGACCAGAAGACACGGGCCCCCCGCCCACTTATGGCCAGGCTACACTTTCCAGCTAGCAAGAGAACAAAGACCAAGACTGATGCAAATGCAAATGCAAATGCAAATTAGAGTTAGAGATATAAATGGCATGTATAAAGAGCAACAGCAGACATATAGCTTTGGTGAAAAGACAATGTCTGCTGTTGATGGCCAGAGTGGCTTGATTCATAGCTTAGGATTTCATAGAGACAGCAGTTAATTTGTATTAACCCAAAGATAAATTGTGATATTGTATTGTTTTAGCTTTGTTCTAGAGATGTTAAGAGTTTTTACTCTGAATCCTTAGCTGTTTGTTCTAGAGCTATACTGATATGAGATTGGTTAACTTGCAAAACACAAATTCCAAAATAGAACACTAAAAAAAACTGAAAGAGTTGCATAAAATTAACATACAGGGGAAGTTGAGAAACATGTAATATCATTTCAAGCTGATAAATAGATAACAGAAAGACGAGTACTTATCTATTTGAGAGAATCAGTCAATGTCAAGCCTATCAAGCATAGATATGCAGTTTGTTCAGTAGTGTATGAGTTCATATTCCAAACTCTCTTCTAAAAAAAATATCTACCAGTGTCGATTATACATTAGATGTCCTACCATGCCATAAATGGAGAACCAATCAGCAGTGCTCCATTTACTGCTTACAAACATGAAAAAATTTCTATCCATTTCAATTGTATGGGTTCTCCTATCATGCTGATTGAATGCAGAACCACAAACATTCAAGATGTACAGAATCAGCAGAAAACAAGCGCAGATTTGATCCAAATCGAACAATTACTGTTTATAATAGGTTAAGTCATCAAAAATTACACAAACGTATATACAATAAACCTATATGATCGATCTACTTGTGATATCATGCAATTATAACATCCTTTTACCTTGTACGTGACTTTGCACAATCCGATAACAAAGAAATCTATCGGTATATAAGTTTGATGATAACAACTCGCATGTAGATATATTCATTAATGTAACAAAGTAAGTACATCAAATCTGTGACGTACCTTTACTGAAATCGACATACCGGTAATGTACAGACGCAGAGAGTTGATGCGGCGGAGAGTGGAAATGATATTGACGACGACGGATGCCTCGGGGGAATCAGATGAAAATGGTATGTAATGGTGAATCCGGGATATGTGTTTTGGTATATTTCCCGCCTTTCCGCTATTAGATATATGGACTCCCTCTTCTTTTTGACCAAAAGTTGTGTTGCTATCCGGTTCAATCCTAAACTTTAACTAAACTACAATTTTGGTACCTAAACTAATTACTGTTATATTTTGATCCAAAATTGTTGATTTTTGGTCATTTTGGTCCTTCAGTTTCTTGGATCTCTATCAAATGAAGTCATGTGAAATTGTGCATAACAATTTAATTTTTAAGAATATTGTGTACATCTTCTTTTTCTTTTATATAATTTCTATATTTGTTTATGATGGGTACCTTGATCATCGGGGTAGTTTGTGACTAGACATCGGCTTTAATTTTAGCTTCATTAATACTTGAAACAAATCAGTTAGCCGTATTATCAGGTTGAAATCTGAGAATACACTCCGATGATAAAGTCAGTATGTGCGGAGGTAAATAATCAGAGAATAATAGAAGAAGAGTTTTAGGTGTTTTGAGTGTATAGAATGTCTCCCCTATTTGACGTCTCTCCCTTTGTATTTATAGGTGATGAGAACCTATTGGATTAAGATAAGAACTTCATTGAGTATTTGTATTCGAATAAGGATTCTTTAAAATACAGGATGGACCCGATTCAGGATATATATATATATATATATATATATATATATATATATATAGGATAGAGTGAGAACTCGAAAATCAACGAGGACAAATCCTAACCATTTGTTTCACTAAATTAATGGTTGAGATTATATATATATATATATATATATATATATATATATATATATATATAATACCAATTTGGGATTTTAGGCGGTGACATTTTTGTTATTAATTAAAAACTTTTTATGATTTTCCTGAAAGGTCAAGAAAAAATAAGGACAAACAAGATATGCCCGACTTATTAACATATGTTATAATGTTGGTTGTTGGTTGTTGCTACGCCGTCATATGCGTTGCGTCATCATATGTGTCTGACCCATTTTCTTGACCTGTTTCGTCCATATAAATTATTTATTTTCTACCTAAAATTTTAAGGGTACTATTATTAATACCCTTAATGATTACTTTTTCACTTAAACCATCTCCAACCCACTTTCATTTTTCCCCCAAAAATGAAATAAAAATAGGGTAAATAGTGTTTCATCTTCAACCATACACCATTTTTTACCTTATTTTTACCCCCAAAAAGTATATTTCTTGTATATTTCATTCTTCCAACTTATATAAATTATCATACACACCTTCTACTAATTTGATTTTAACAAATATACAATCTATATTTTTTTCATTACAATAATATTAAATAAATAAGATTATATTTATAATACTTAATTATAAACTTTTGTAAAATACGTTATCGTGTTTTAAAATTTCTATATATATTTAAATTTTTATATGAATTTGATAAACGAAGAACAAAATTTATATTTATAATTAATTAATATAATTTAATATATAACACAATATTCTAAGTATTAAATATTACATTAAAATTATTATTATTAGATAAAAATAAACTAGAAATGTATAAATATATAAAAAAATGGATTAAAACCGACAACTCAAAATTCATCCCCATTTTGGGGGAAATTAATAATAGTATAACACCATATTTGGTGTTATACTATTCATTTCCCTCAAAATGGGGGAATAAATGGGGTACGGTTAGAGAGGAATGGGGGAATAAATTGAGGAAAATAATGGAAAATGGAAATGGGTTGGAGATGTTTTTACCATACACATAATAATTACAGTGTTTTGTAGTTTACAAAAGTCAATTCTAATAATTAACTAATCATTGATTTGTAGTTTATAAAAGTCAATTATTAATACTTAATAGTTAATTTAATTTTTTTATTTTTCAAATAGATTAATATTATATATATATATATATATATATATATATATATATATATATATATATATATATTAGTCGTTTACCCGCGCTAAGCGACGGGTGCGAATAATTTTTTAAAAAATTAGTTTATACAAGCGATTTGTTTTTTATATCGATTTTCAACCGGTTTCCATTTTTTAAAATCATTTTTTAGACCGGTTTCGGTTATAATAAGTTCGGGTTTTTTTGAAGTGAAATTTAATTAGAAAACGGTGTTAAGACCGATTCGGTTATATTAGAAAAACCGAAATGCATATATTAAAACCTATTACTAAATGGCGGTTATGTTTTAACATATCCGTGCAAAACGGCGGCGGCAAATAGTTTATTTCAACGATAAGGTTTTTTTACAAAAATGTTATGTTTTAAGGAATGTACATGTCTAAGATGATAGAATCCAACTTTTGCATTATTTGTGAAATGATAGCCACATCAAGTAACCAATAAAAAGAAACGGTTCAAGGCGGCAGACACTATGAAATGTGTTATCCGTTCAAATAAAAATAATATAATACATAAAATCTAAAGGTGTGTGTATTGGTTTATTTCGGCAAATAATTTTTTTTTTAAAAACATGGTGGATTATGGAAAACACATAATGTATCGGCATATAGTTTCCTTTAGGTTAAAGGGCATATAGTTTTGTCGGAGCTTTTCACATGTACACCACTATTTTATAAAGGGTTAACCTAGTAAAATGAAAAATATTTTTACCGTTTCATTAATTATAACTAGAAAGGTTATCCCCGCTACGCGGGGATCAGAAACTTTCAATGTTGTTTCTGAATCGATAAATATGACAGACGTAGAAAGTGCAAGGATGAAAAAACTGGGCTTTGCCCCAGACCATTTTTTTCATGTTTTTATGAAAAAATGTAAAAGTTTTGACTGCAAGGACCAGAAGTGTCAAAATGGATAAAAAAATTAAAGGGGTATGAATTAGCAAGTTTTTAGAAAAGGGATCAAAGTTGTCAAACTGTTAAAGTTTTGTGGCCAAACTTTAAATATTAAAAGGTTCCTAAAAAGTGTAAAAATATTGATTGTAATGACCAAAAGTGTCAAAATGGCTAAAGAATGATGAGCAAAGTTGCCAAAAAACATACAAATTTATTATTCCTAACTTTGAAGCCCAACAATAGTACAAGGACCAATTTTGCCAAAAAAATGTTACCCCCGCTACGCGGGGGCCAGAAGCTTTCAATGTTGTTTCCGAATCGATAAATATGACAGACGTAGAAAGTGCAAGGATGAGAAGCCCGGCTTTGCTCCGGACCGTTTTTTTTCATGTTTTTATGAAAAAATGTAAAAGTTTTGACTGCAAGGATCAGAAGTGTCAAAATGGCTAAAAAATTAAAGGGGTAAGAATTAGCAAGTTTTTAGAAAAGGGATCAAAGTTGTCAAACCGTTAAAGTTTTGTGGCCAAACTTTAAATATTAAAAGGTTCCTAAAAAGTGTAAAAATATTGATTGCAATGACCAAAAGTGTCAAAATGCTAAAGAATGAGGAGCAAAGTTGTCAAAAAACATTCAAATTTATTATTCCTAACTTTGAAGCCCAACAATAATACAGTGACCAATTCTGCAAAAAAAAACGTCAAGTTCACTATTCCTAAGCCTTCATTTCTTTAATATATATATAATAATAATAAAATACATAATACTTCCAAATAATTGTAATAAAACTCTAACAAAATGATTTACTTTGAACAATAATGACATTGGCAAACAATTTATTACGAATGAAAACCAATTATAATAATACCCTAACCAAAATAACCTTTTTAATGTCACAAACTTTTGTGGCATCATAAGTGATTTATAAGACTGGTAGCCCACACCGGCGTTATTAAGAAAAGACAAAAAAAAATGTGTTATAACGTGTTATGGTGGTAGCGGGGAGTAACGTGCAAGCTAATAACGTCTGATAACGGGTAAGGGGGGCGGTGTTCACATGTTATAACACCCAATAACGCCCCTTGTGGCGTTGCTCATACCCACCTCTCTAAGAGAACTTTAACGAATAACATTTTTTTTCACAAAATATCTTAATAGAGAATCTGTTAACAAAAGTATTAATGTCACATGGAAATTATCATTATCTTATAATTAAAACATTTATGTTTGTAAAACAATGGGATTTGACAAAAAAAAATTCTAAACAACTAATTAGTTTCATATTATATTATTACTTGTTTTTACTTTTATTTTTGTAAAATAATTT